TAGAGAGAGAAAGAGGAAAGAGGAAAGAGGAAGAGCAGCGAGCCGTGCCGTATATATCGGCACAATATTCATAGTAAGAAAAAAAAACTGATTAACATATCCTGCTGTAGTACAGGTATTTTTCTCTCTACCTATCATACGACTAAAGGATTCTTTATTTTATATATTTTTTTATTCTTGACAATAAAGAAGTCATTTATCTTTTTTCTTTAATGAAGACTTTATTTATATTTATCATTTACTATAAATAAAATTTAAACAACAATGCTAATGAAAAAAATTCTTCTCTACATATTGAAAGATAATTTCAGTTACATATAAAGAACATACATACCAGTCTTTACTAAATTCTGATTTCGTCTTCTATATATACACATACACACATACGCACATATATATAACGTATCCGCTCTTTTGACTTAAACTTATTCAAATATATTTTCTATTCATATGTAAGAATAAAATCATGTAAAAAGGAAAAAATTACAGAACAGAAAACTCTGCTGAAAGGAAGAAATGTCCTCTTGTTTATTAGATACACATAAGAGAATAAACATAATAGATTTGTCCTTTTGTTTTATATTACTGGTACTTTGCTATGTGTATGTGAACGAATCAGATTACGTGAAAGAAAAAGTGCTTTACAGAGTAGAAAAGTCCGCCGGAGAAAGGAAATATCCGCTGGTAGCTTATTCATCTTTTTCTTTTCCTTTAGCTACTGATATATATATATATGACATTTCATGAGATATATCAAGTCCCACATATATTCATGGGACTTTTCAAAAAGTGGACATTTTTTGGATCTTTGACATTGCTAGAAAAGATCGTTAACAATCAACGGAACTTGTGCTTTCCTCTCTCTCTAGCACTTTTGCCATTATTGTATATAAGCACATGTGATATTTGTGAAAGATAGTCAGTACGAATATCATCTTTTTATGTAAGTAATATTCTTTTTATAACACAAAATCGAAGGATTATTTTTTACAAACGTTGAGTGTCGTTTCTCATGTCATCCATTGATAAATTTACCTGTACGACCTATTGAACAACATAAACCAACTATTGTGAATAATAGTGAAAGAGACGAGAAGGGCATGTCTAATCACATACATAAAACCTATAGATATTATAATTTGAAGTAAAACTTACTATTCAATACTGTATCGAGGTGTTCTTCTATGTACTTCTATCGAAAGAAACGATTGATTCTTCTTTTATTTCCGATAAAATTATGTTTATGTACGTGTATGTATCGGATAAAGATATTCAATAATAATGAAAAGAGCTACTGGTATCTGTTTGAATATATATGTACAAGAAATGTCCTACAATATCGATTCATCTGTGATGTACATCATTATCTAGTTGATGATAAACAAGATTTCCTTCTAATGGCATACTTGACCGTATCTCTAAGGTACTTAGACTTTTCAGCAAAGACACTTTATTATTATTCTTGTTGTCTCGATAGTTGATGGTCGAACAAAAGAAACTAACCAACTTGGACAACTCTGTCAGTGCTATCTATCAACAAATCAATAACAATACAGAAGAAAGAAAGACAGATTATGTGTTTCTGGTGAAACTACGTTTTCTTTCTTTGTATCCAAGACTTGATGAAAGAAACATCACTTTAACGCAGTCAGAAAAAACTAGCATGATGAGAAGATCCAACATAAAATCGACTCGATAGATGATCTCCTGGAAAAATTCATCAATTCAATGCCTCTGTTTATAATCTATCCTCGAAACACCACATGTAAAAAGAATTTATGCATTTGTTTCATCATTTGAAACAACAAAATGTCTCTAAAAGTTTATCTTTTCGGATTTATTGACGCTAAAATTGTTGAAGATCTCGACAAAAATGGTATATTCCATTAAAAAGTTTTCAGTACTAGTAGTACTTTTCATGCAACGATTTTCAACACATAAGAGAAAAAATTGATATTCGCTATGGTAATTATTGCTTGTAACGAATACATGTGACAAGTCATGAAATGAACTAACAAAACGAAATATCTAATTAAACGAATCTAGAAAATTTTCAAAAGAAACCATTTACTGTCATGCTAATTCAGCGCGCTAATTATTGAGGTAGCAATTTCCAATAATTCCAAAATCAGCACGATTACAGTTGAGAAAAGCAATCATAGATTCATTGGTTTGTTTTGATGGGAGCAGGTGTGGGTGTGGGTGTAGGCATAGATTAAACAAGGTCTCTTATCTTCACACCCACACCCACACCCACGTCCACACCCATACCCACATACACACCCACATCCTCCAAAATTGTTGGTCGAATTCTGAATTGGACCGAATTCCAAGTTCGGCCACAACATATATATAGCTCACGTACTTAGTGCAAGAATTGACAGTTAAATAAATGAACATGGAACACTCAACGCTTCATTTAATTGATTTACCTGATGAATTACTTTTGATGATATTTAAGTATATGAAGAAAGCATTAGTATTATATTCATTAATGGGAATCAATAGACGATTCGATAGAGTTTTGCAAGATCCAATTTTTGTGAGTCTTTTAACATTAATGACATGTACATCGAATAGTTTTATCTGTCCAATGTATAAGAAGACAATTGAACGATTTTGTTTATACATATTACCTCAAATTCATCATAAGGTCAAATGGCTACAATGTTGAAATATCATCCATGAAACGTCTTCTTGCTGTTGAATATCCAAACTTATGTGGACTTGGTCTTTATAATATACGGGAAGAAATAGATGGACATATATTCAATGGTAGGAAAATTATTTTAGCTCTAATCTTCGAAACATTGGAAATGCAAATAAAGACGATTCATTTCTATAAAATTGTTAATTTGATTTGTTAGACATTTACAAATTTAGTTCAATTATTACCATCTTGTACATTAATTACTTATGATTATTATTATTATTAGAAAGTACAGGAAAATAGTTAGAATAGAGATAAAATATTAAAAAGGACTTTAACATTCTTATAGAATAAAAGACATATGCCAAATAAGAGACAAAATATTGAAATAATTAATAAAATTCAATATATGATTTCTGATTTTCATTGATTTCTAGAAAAGAGGAAATTGTAAGGAAGTACATAAATTACAAAAGTATATTTAATCATTGATGAAATTCCATAATTACGATACAATCTATAAAACAAAAAGATATACACATTATAATGTGATGAAAAGATTAAAAAAGAAATTACTATAATTGAATTAAGTATAAGAAGTAGTGTGCTATAGGAATGGGAACGATATTAAAAATTGATATTCCCAAAAATCGTTTTGTTTTATTTTCAAATACATTAAGATATTTACTGTAGCAGATTTTTATTATTAATAACTATTTCTTGTATATAATAAGCCATAGAAGTATCGTAGAAAATAGGTCGGAACTCATTTTTTAACATTCAAATATCGTTTCGACCTGGTTTTTTTGTTTTGTTCGAAAGAATAAATTCTGAAGAATGAAACTGATGAACATAGTTAAAAATTTTACTTTTGACTTATTATAATGAAATTCGATTAGTAGAAGCCTGTGGATTCAATTGTTTTGATTCCGTAACCCGACTCCGAAAACTTTTATCTTCTGACTCCGAGAAACTATGAAATTTTTATTAATATCATCTGAAAACTAAGTATTCTGAACAGGGAAGGACTCATTTAACATCCTACAAATGGATACTTGTTCGACTAACAAATCCTATTTCTTGAAACAAACAAGTTTATGGGTGTATCATCTTGAAGTTCGTGTTTTTCAATGAGAATACCTTTTTCAATGTAAAAAAAGAACTCACATTTTTATTCTTCAAAATATGTTTTTTGTTTACCAATTTTTCTGCTTGCGATGTTTTTTGTCTAAACACAACCAAGAATTGATAATGTAAACAGTAGTTGTCGTACTTTGAATGGCATTAATACTTATTTTGAGATCGTAATCGAAATTTTGAAAACATTCCATGAACGAGATTGAATTTCCTCTTTTTCATGAATGTAAATTGAGAAAAATGTCTCTCGCAGGATATTAATAAGAAGGTAATGTTAGAAAATGAAATAATTAGCAACGAAGAAGTTGTTTCTTACGAAGTGAATACACAAAAAAAATATGAGATATCAGCTGTTGTAATTACTTGACAATAGTAATCAATTAGAATTGCGATAAAGACTAACTTTCGTTACTTGTCATAATACATAAGAGTTTTGTGAAACACCATCTGAAAGGATAGTTGGAGCATATCGGGTTGAAATTTCAATAGGCTGTGACAGACATTGTTGGTATACGAGTAAAGACAATATCTCAATAAAATCTCATTATGAATTGCTTCCTTTTTGTAGTCTAGAGGATTAATTAAAGGATTGAGAAAGAAATGTGTCGTAAAATAGATCCAATGAAGCGATTATCATTTGATTAGCAACAACAATCATAGAGTTTTTCACTTTTTAATCCCACAAAAGCTGCGCTAGCGGCTCTTGTGTTTTTTCCGGTTATTGATTAGTTGAAAACTGGTAATTTGTTAAGTGACAATGTCCTCTCAGCTCTAAATTAAGCCATTAAAATTAATGAATTTCTCATTTATATTTAGGCGAGTCTTTTCTTGTTCGTATTTTTAAAAATCAAATTTCGACACTTGTTATCAGATTTGCTAAGAATAAAACAACCATACTAATGAATGATACAAAAACAAATATCTTCAGAAATATTCTAATTATTTTCACTAATCTACATCATTTACGTTTTGATGCATCTTTAAATATGACCATTGAACCGATGTTTAATTGGTAATTGAGTCAAACTTGTTCATCTTCAATTCTTAAAGAATTACATATTACTGTAAAATATTTTCACGATTGTCTTTATTTACTCGATAGTTGCTTCAATCAACTTAAAAAATTTTTCGTTAATATTGGTCTTCTCTGTAATCAATCGTCAACGATCAATGATCAGGTATATTCATTTTATAAAAATAAGATTAGTAGCCTTTAAAGAAGTTTACATTCATTTTAAATTCTTTGATATTTTATGAAAAACTCCCGAATATGAAATGTTTTTCACTGACTTGCTATGATGAGACATTCAACTATTATGATTTAATCCTGCCACTTTTGCATCGAATGTCAAATTTAGAAAGTCTAGCTTTATATTTAATGGTAATCAATCGTCATATCAAAGAAAGATTTATTGATGAAAATGATTTGAAAGAAAATATTATTAATCATTTACCACGGTTAGAAAAATTTGCATTTAATATTCATTCAAGAACTATTTTTTTCAATCAAATTTATTTATCTTCAAATGAAGACATTAAAAATACATTCACAAGTTTCAAAGATAAACAAATTATCTCTTGCGTCGATTATTCTCAAAACAAAAAAGCTGGTCAATATCATATTTATTCTCTGCCATATACAACGAAATATTATAAAAATATAACTAATAATTTTTCAGGTGGACTATTTAAATGTGTTCGTGAAATATCATTATGTGATGAACATTCCTTCGAACATGATTTTTTTATGCGAATTGCTGAAGCATTTCTATATCTTAAGAAACTACATTTAATCAATAGACACCCTTTATCAACAAATATTAAGCTTTCTGTTGCGTATAAATCTCTACGATCAATAACACACAATTTCACAAGAGAAACAACGCGAATCAATTGTGCTAAAATAAATAACATGTATTTTTATAATGTTAGTTTTGGAAACTCCCGAACAATTCCGAATGTATTTTCCTCTTATGAGACATCGATCAATGTTATCTTATTTTAAAATAAACTAGATAAATGAAAACGGAATCGATATATGTTTTACACAAAAAAAATAAAATAAAGAATGAACAAATAAGCGTACGCATAGCTTATTTCATATTTTGATTGAACGAAATAAATTCTTTTTATTGCAGATGATAAACTTCTACATTGAAAATAAAATCTGTAGAGCTACTAAAGAAAAGACAGCTAACAAGAAAAAATACAGCATGCAGGGATTAGTGTAATTCATTTTTCGAAAGAAAAGAACATCCGTTTAAGACTTATGTTCAATTTGAAATTTGGATCATCTTTTAAAACAATATTATGTACGAAATATACACAATACTTGAGTCCGATTTATAAATATCTTGAAAAGTGAGAAAATGTGATGATGATTCATTTACTTTTCAAGTATTTGAAATATATGAAACATTGCTGTCATTAATACTATTGAATATTGTTGAAATTGAGAAAGAAAATTTTTTAACATAACTTCAACATTCTAGTTCAATCAAGTTTTATTATAAGATATAGTTAAACATTGAAAACTTTATTATCATTGTTTTAGACGATTTGAGTGATTTTGTTCTTGTATTGAAAGGTTTTTTT